TTGGAGTGCAATTTGGTTCCTCACATGCAGAGGTAGCCACAAGCTGTGGATCATTTAAAGCTTCTAACAGTTGCAGAGAGTCAACGGTGAGCATCAGGAAGTCAGGAACTGGCATACAAAACAATCAGCCAAAGACAACAACAGTATAGGATTCAAGTTAGATCCAAATGGTCCCTAAACTCTGCCAAGACAAACTCCTACTGGAGATTGAGCCCACCACCGAGGCATGTGTCCTGACTAGGAATTGAACCAGTGATCTCTTCATTCACGGGTCAACACTCAATCATTGAGCCACACTGGCTGGGCTCTGGTGTGACTTTTTTCTTTCTTTCTTTCAGAGGAAGTGGCCATTATTATATATTTTATTATTATTATTTTTTTTAATTAATCCTCCCTGCGGATATTTTTTCACTGATTTTTAAGGAGAATGCAAGAGAAAGGGAAAGACAGAAATATCTATGTGAGAGGGCTGGGTCTGGAGAGGAGCCTGCAACTAAGGTACATGCCCTTAACCAGAATCAAACCCTGGGAACCTTTAGTCTGCAGGCCAACACTTTATCCACTGTGCGAAACTGGCTAGGGCTGGTCTGGCCCTTTTTTAAAAAAAGGTGTATTTGTCTCTGGCAGGCTTTGTGTCTCCCTAGTGGGTAGAGTCCTACCGCCTTTCACTGCTGGATGCTATGTGAATGGCTGTTCCTCCTCACTCTGGTGCTCTGGGTTGAGGAGCCCAGGCTGGGGTCCAGGCCTCACTTTTTTCCTGAGAACTCTCATTTCCCCAGTGGCCAAAATATCCTCTGCACCCTTGGCCTGTAGCCACTGGGGCAGGGCCAGCCCCTCTCACCACCCTACTCTTCCTACTCTTAGGTTGCTTTCTGCAGTTTTTGTTTAAGAGTCTTATCTTCTAATATCAGAAATCTAATAAACAAAATAAACTAGTGAATAAAATAGAATCAAAGACAAGGAAGCATGGAATAAACTGACGAATCTCAGAGGGAGAAGGGAAGGGAGCAGGAAGAGATTAGCCAATAATCTTACCTATGGACACAAACAGTAGGCAACCAGTCAATGTTACTCTCATACACTGATGTTTTGTTTCTCTGTCTGTAAGGTATATACTTATAATGTATTTATTATCTCTAAGATTAATAAAAGAGCCCTAGATGGCTTGCTCAGTGGATAGAGCATCAGCCTGCAGACTGAAGGGTCCTAGGTTTGATTCCAGCCAAAGGCACATGCCAGGGTTGTGGGCTTGATCCCCAGTAGGATGTGTGCAGGAAGCAGTCGATCAATGACTCTCATCATTGATGTTTCTCTCTCTCTGAAATCAATAAAGAAATATATATATTTTTAAAATATTAATAAGACATATCCCTGAGTTGTGGGATCCCTTAACACAACCCCCGTGATTCAGGGCCCACTCAGGGTCCGGTTTCTGGAGGAGGCCGCACACTAAAATGAAGAGAGAGACTGGAAAAGTTAATTTGGAAAAATGGGGGGCCAGGCAGGAGTCAACTTCCACTAGGCTCTGGCCTTGCTATCCCTTTTATTGAGGCTATGGGATGCACCCATTACCCTTAAGCAGCTTTGGGAAACACCCATAGCCCTTAGGCAGGTAATAAGCAGATTGTCATATCAGTAAGGATTTACATGATTACAAGATGGGGAAGTTGCCTCAGTTACCATTGTCTCAATTAGATAGGGTGTGGTTGGCTCTGACCTTTCATAGCTTCAAGGTTGACCAGCCTCTTTCTATTAGTGAGAAGATGATTGGTTTCCTGCACAGAGTGAGGATTAAATAAGGGGAAAAAAGTCTTATATTCAGCTAGTCTTCAATTGATAATTCAGTATAAGTGTTCCCCAATTTAGTTTTATTCCTAGTTTGTTTCTGGGAGAACGTGTGAGAAAGATCCACCTACTTTGCTGCCATATTAAAATTTAACGGTAGAACCCTGACCAGTTTGGCTCAGTGGATAGAGCGTCAGCCTGCAGACTGAAGGATCCAAGGTTTGATTCCAGTCAAGGGCATGTACCTTGGTTGTGGGCACATTCCCAGTGGGGGTGTGCAAGAGGCATCAATGTTTCTCTCATCAATGTTTCTAATTCTCTGTCCCTCTCCCTTCCTCTCTTATAAAAAATAAATAAAATGTACTTTTTTTAATTTACCAGTAGATGTTTACTTTTAAATTTTTTAAATTTTCTTATTGATTTCAGAGAGGAAGGAAGAGAGAGAGAGAAACATCAATGATGAGAGAGAATCATGATCACCTATCTTCTGCATACCCCCAACCAAGGACCGAGCCTGCAACCTGGGCATGTGCCCTTGACCAGATCGAACCTGGGACCCTTCAGCCCACAGATTAACACTCTATCCACTGAGCCAAAACCAATCAGGACTTTTTTTTTTTTTTTTTTTTTTTTTGAGAGAGAGAAACAGCAATTTGTTGTTTCTTCTTATGTATGCATTAATTGGTTGGTTCTTGTATGTGCCCTGACTAGGAATTGAACCATGACCTCCTGGTTCATAGGTCAATGCTCAACCATTGAGCCACACCAGCTGGGCATAAGCCAACTATTTTAGATGCATTTATTTCTCATAACAGGCTATTGGGTATCCTATATACTAAAGAGCTAATATGCCAATGGCCGTCACACCCTCATGCCATCACACAGTAATGGCTCAGACCCTCAACACTGGGGAGAGAGGAATGGGAACCAGCCAGGCACAAATGAGCTCTAAAGAGAGGAATGGGGACCAGCAAGGCTGCAGCCTGGGAGAGGGACAAGCGGCCCACTGGGTGCCAGCGCCTACGCCTGCACCGTGGCCTAGCCCAGGAGTGGGATAAGCTGCACACTCGATAGTCCTGGGCACCAGTGGCTGGGGCTGCAGCCTGGGAGAAGGATAAGCCACCTGCACCGAGGTCCCAGGCACCAGTGACTATACCTGTGCCTGTGGCCCAGGAGAGGGACAATCCGCATGCCCCACAGTATACAAAATTCATGCAGTGTGTGTGTCCCTCAGCCCAGTCTGCATCCTCTCCAATCTGGGACCCCTCGGAGAATGTCCAACTGTTGGTTTAGGCCCGATCCCTATTTGGGCCTAACCTGGCAGTTGGACATCCCTTTCATAATCCAGGACTGCTGGCTCCCAATCGCTTGCCTTCCTGCCAGCATGATCACCACCTAACCACTCCCCTGCCAGCCTGATTGATGCCTTACTGCTCCCCTGATGACCTGTTTGTCCCCAACTGCCCTCCACTGCGGGCCTGGTCGCCCCCAACTGCCCTCTCTTGCTGGCCTGGTTGCCCCTAACTGACCTCCCCTGTTGGCCTGATAGCCCACAACTACCGTCCCCTGCCGACCATCTTTGACCACATGGGGACAGCCATCTTGTGCAAGGGTGTGAGGGTCAATTTGTATATCACCTCTTTTTTTAAAAAATATATATTTTATTGATTTTTTACAGAGAGGAAGGGAGAGAGATAGAGAGTTAGAAACATCGATAAGAGAGAGTCATCAATCAGCTGCCTCTTGCACACCCCCTACTGGGGATATGCCCGCAACCAAGGTACATGCCCTTGACTGGAATCGAACCCGGGACCCTTCAGTCCCCAAGCCGACGCTCTATCCATTGAGCCAAACCGGTTTCGGCTGTATATCTCCTCTTTATTATACTGGATGTGGATCAGGAATCTAGTGACTCAGAGTAGGTAAATGATCCAAGATTAACTAGCTAGCAAGTAAACTAAAACTTAAGATCTATTCAAGTTGGTTTGTTCAGTGGTTAGAGTATCAGCCTATGGACTGAAGGGAAGCAAGTTCGATTCCAGTCAAGAGCTAGTATTTCAGTTTTAGGCTCAATGCCTGGTCCTGGTTGGGCTCATGTGGGAGGCAAACAATATCTCTCTCTCTCTCACATCAACGTTTCTCTTTCTCTGTCTACCTACCCTGTTTCCCCGAAAATAAGACAGTGTCCTATATTAATTTTTTCTCCCAAAGTTGCGCTAGGTCTTATTTTCGAAGGATGTCTTATTTTCGGGGAAACACGGTATCTTTTATACTCTTCTGTATGAATGCTGTATGTTATTATTATGTTTTTATTTAATAATCCCCTGCCCAGCCGGTGTTGCTCAGTGGTTGAGCATTGACCTATCAACCTGGAGGTCATGATGCGATTCCAGTCAGGCACATGCCCTGGTTTTCAGCTGGATCCCCAGTGTGGGGTATGCAGGAGGCAGCCAATCAATGATTCTCTCTCATCATTGATGTTTCTTTCTCTTTCTCCCTCTCCCTTCCTCTCTGAAACCAATAAACATATTTTTTAAAAAGAGTGTGTAAAACATAAACACTATTTAAAGAACAATTTAAAATCAAACAACTGTGTAAGCCCACCTAATTTAAATAATAGAATGTTGGTTTGGCTCAGTGGATAAAACATCAACGTGTGGACCAATCGATTGCAGTCAAGGGCATGTACCGTGGTTGCAGGCTCCTCCAAGGTGGGGCTCATGCAGGAGGCAACCAATGGGTTTGTTTCTCTCACATCGATGTTTCCGTCCTTCCCTCCCTTTTCCACTCTCTCTAAAATCAGTGGAAAAATATCCTCAGGGGAGGATTATATATATATAAAAAAAGAATGCTGCCAACACTACAGAAGCACCTCCTTTGCCCCTGTGATCACACACACACACACACACACACACACACACACACACCCCGTTTTATCACCTGGGAATACATTCTGAGCAATATAGTAGTGCCTGCTTTTGAATGTTATAAAATAGATTCGAACAGTGCATATTATTTTGTCTTCGGCTGGTGGAAGTCTGCTGTCTCACACAGGTGTAGTCTCACGCAGCCAGTGGTTTGTTCTCTGCCCAGAGTCTTCCCTCGGAGGACGCCGAGGCCAGCTTTGCAAGGACTCCGCTACGCGCAGGCGCAGGCGGCCGCCGGTTCGCGCCGCAGCGCAGGACGCCCCGCCCGCCCCACCCAGTTCGCCTTAAAGCCTCCAGCTTCTCGCGAGACGCTTCATTCGCACGCTCGCTGCCAGGGTCGGAGGTCAGAGCGAGCCTTTCGGGGACCACAGGAGGAAGATGGCGGTGGAATCGCGCGTCACCCAGGAGGAAATTAAGAAGGAGCCGGAGAAGCCAATCGACCGGGAGAAGGTGAGGGGTGGGGATGAGGTGGCGGGGCGCCCGCGGGACGCGGAGAGGGGCCGGCTTGCTCCAGCCCCTGCCTTTCCTCTGCCCGCAGACGTGCCCGCTGCTGCTGCGCGTCTTCACCACCAACAACGGGCGCCACCACCGCATGGACGAGTTTTCCCGCGGGAACGTGCCGTCCAGCGAGCTGCAGATCTACACCTGGTGAGCGGGCGGGCGGGCGGCCTCCGCGGGCCTGCGGCCGCGGCGCGCACACGGAAGGTTTTGGCCGCTTTGCGTTTAATTGTGAACCCTTTGCGTTGAAAAGAATTGTGGCTGTTCCGTACGAAAGTAGTTTGTAGACTGTTGAGACGCGGTAGGCGCCGCAGGGGCTCCCGGTCGAGTAAAGATGCTGAGACCACAGGCCCAGGGAGCAGTGCTGTGCAGAGAGCACTGTCACCTGATGTTGAATCTTAGCTACCGTAGCATCCAAAAATAATCAACAAAACCCGAGTGGTTGCTGAGCTGATGCCGAATAGAAAAGCTGCTGCCAATAAATAAGATGTAAGGGTGAAAGTGACCCTCTACTTCTAATCAAGAAAAAGGCTTACAAAAAAATCCTGTCCTAAACTGTCCATAAAATGGAACCAAGCAAGGAAGACAACTTCTGTGCCTCAGAATGGTGCCTAAAGACATTCTGAAAGAGCTCTCCCCAGAAGCAGTAATGAGAGAGATTAGTTAACAAAGCTTGGGAACTCTCAGTTTGTAGACGTGGACTGAAGAGCTGTAACAGGCAGCCCTGAGACAAATCAGGGAAAAAGGAGTGGAAATCAAGAGGAACCTAAGGCACTCTGGAGTTGTGGGAACAAGCCAGATGCCACAGAGGTGCTATCACATCGAGCCCACAACGAATATTTTTGTGGTCCAGCAATATAATAGTATGTAAGAAACATTGCAGTAAAATTTTTGTAACTTAATTTTTTAAAATTTATTTTATATTTTTATTGATTTCAAAGAGGAAGGGAGAGGGAGAGATAAACATCAATGATGAGAGAATCATTGATCAGCTGCCTCCTGCAGCCCCTTACTGGGCATGTGCCCTTGTCCAGAATTGAACCCCGGATCCTTCAGTCCGAAGGTTGACTCTCTTTCCACTGAGCCAAATCGGCTAGGGCTGTCTGTGGTCGGCAAACTGCAGCTCGAGAGCCACATGCAACTCTTTGGCCCCTTGAGTGTGGCTCTTCCACAAAATACCACAGCCTGGGCGAGTCTATTTTGAAGAAGTGGCGTTAGAAAAAGTTTAAGTTTAAAAAATTTAGCTCTCAAAAGGAATTTCAATCGTACTGTTGATATTTGGCTTTGTTGACTAATGAGTTCGCTGATCACTGGGCTAGGGCATAACTTAATTTTTACAATATCCTGTTATAACATTCACTAATGTCTGTTCACTATAATCATGTAGCATTCAATAATTCCCTTATACAGCTTAAGCCCAGTTGCACCATATCTCTCCAATAATCCTAGCAGTGAATATTTTAGTATCCGATTGCCACATCATTAGTCTTATACTGACTTGTTTGGTGTGTGCAACAGGAAATATTTCACTTTCAGAGAATAGGAAAAATGGGTTTATTTGCGATATGCTTGTTAATTTGTGCAGTTATTCAGTGTGGTAAGTTAATGTTCAAGTAAAAAATTAACTTTTATTAAAATGTTCTATGATTTTATGTTAATGTTTACTCATTTATTTCAGCATATTTCATTCAAAATTAACCTTCATTTCTATGAAAATTGAATCTTGTTCTTTTGTGGCCCACATAAACTTAAACCTTGCTTATTTGGCCTGTGTTGCCTTTGAGCTTGACATGCTCGTCTTCCACAATTGTAGTGCCTGAGCATTTAAATCTTAATCTGTGGGGCAGGCTATCTGGAAGCTGGAACTCTCAAACATGAGCTGTGTTTGAAGCCTCCTAAGACCCTCCTAACTGATTGAATCAGGTGTGCTCATATTGTCTGTAATCTCTTTAAAGTCTAACTGTTGATAGACTTTAATCCTATATACAAAATACAGATGCTCCTTGACCTACCATGAGGTTATTGTAATGTCCCAGTAAAGCCATTCCCATCATAGTTGGAAATATAAGTGAAAATGCATTTAGTACAGCTACACTGTAAAGTATTGTTGTTTAATCTTGTGATCACATCCAGTATCCCTGGGACTGTTTGTACCTTACACAACACCTGAATTAGTGGGTTTTTGTTGTTGTTTGTTTTTCTGTAATATTTATTTATTGATTTTATTTTTATTTGGGGGGGTGTTTTTTTCACATTCCATATTTGTATTAGTTTCAAGTGTATAATATAATGGTTAGACAATCATACTTTACAGAGTGGTCCCCCTAATATTTCAAGTACCCCCCCCCCCACCTGTAAATAGCTATTACAAGATTATTTCCCCCCTATTGACCTCACCCCCCAGCACATGTGTCTGTATCCATTGGCTGAATTAGTGTTTGATTGAATAACTGGGAGCTTCAGTTCGATACATTGACTGTGACCCTCACACTTAACCAGCAAAGACTTTGGCCCCAAGGGGGCTCTTGCATTCTTCACCCCTATACTCAGCTTTATTTTGTTTTAAAATTAATATTTGTTAATCTTCACCAAAGGATTTTTCCCCTAAGGATTTTGAGAGAGAGGGAGGGAGGAAGGAAGGGAGAGAAAAAAAGAAAGAAACATCCATGTGAGAGAGAGAGACAACAATTGGTGCTTCCTGCACTTGCCCTGACCTGTGCTGGGATTGAATTAGGAAACCAGGGATGTGCCCTTTACAGGGAATTGAACTTGAGACCCTTTGGTGGGTGGACCAACACTAACCATTGAGCCACCTGCCAGGGCTATTTTTTTGTGTTTCTGTTGTTTTTCTCCTTTTCTATGCTTGCTTTTTAGTTTTCTTTTGTACTCAGTTTTAGACTAGTGGTTAGAAAGCAGCACTTGGCACTCCTCCACCTATTGGTCTGAGAGGATGGTCCTCTGCAGGTAGGAAGCTTGTGGAGGACTCACACTGTCAGAACTTATAATATGAGAGCGGAATTCCCCGAGTTCCTTATGAGCAAGATGCCAATATGAAGTTGTTTTTAGAAAAGAAGACAGAATCCTTTCTGGTACACTTAAATATACACTGAGTGGCAGGTTATTATGATCTCTGAATGCATAATAATCTGGCCACTCAGTGTGTGTGTGATATATAAGAGGCCTGGTACATGAGTTTGTCCATGGGTGAGGTCCAGCCAGCCTGACCAGGGGGAGGGGACATGGGTGATTGGCTGGCCTGCCTGATAGTTAAACTCCTGGTTGAGGGGACAATTTACATATTAGCCTTTTATTATATAGGATATACACTGAGTGTCTAGATTATTATGCGTTCAGAGATCATGTTCATTAGCCAGGAATAATTAATATTCTATTATCAATTATCCTGGAATAATCAATTATCTGGGAATAATTGATTATAGTAATCAATTATCTGGGAATAATTGATTACAATAAACAGCATCAGATATTGGGTTACCTCTAAGACATTAAAAAAAACCTCTGGCTTCAGACTTCATACCAATATTCGAGATCACTGGGGACAAAGTTAAAATAACGGGTTGCAGAATAGAATTTGAACTCTGACAAAGGAAAAATAAACTGAAGTACAAAATGAGAGGAAGAGGAGACAGAATCTTTCTCTGATGTTTTACAATTCCTTCAATTTGACTTCAGTTTTTTTTCTATCAATTTCAAGTTGAAGTATACCTAATTTGTTAAAAAATATGTATAATATCTGATTTGCCCTGTATTAGTGAAGTATTAATACTTAATGTTGCCAAGTATTATAATATAGCATTATGCATATATAAAAAATGCTTAGAGTGATGTTAATGTAGTTATTTCAGATTGGTGAGATTTGGCATACAACTTATTGCATTCTTTCATGTGGCTTTTCCCATTTATGTGTTTGTTTTTTATTGATTTCAGAGAGGAAGGGAGAGAGATAAACATCAGTGATGAGAGTCATTGATCAGTTTACCTCCTTCACACCCCACACTGGGGATTGAGCCCACAAGCCGGGCATGTGTCCTAACTGAGAATGGAACTGAAATCCTGGCTCATAGGTTGAGCCATGCCACGTAAGCGTCCTTTCCCCTTTAAATAACATGTTTCAAGTTGGGAAAGGCAGTCTGGCCCAGCTTTTCGCTCTCTGCTGAGGCTGCAGAAAAGTGGCTTTGGGCTCAGAGCATTTCCTTGCAAAGAGATACCTCTTTGGGAGTCTCTTTTCCTATTCTGGATTTGATGTGTGTTCTTTGTTCTGCTTAAGCATCATTTGGCACCCAACCCCACTGCTGTATCCAGGATCTTCCACTTGCAACACAAAAGGCATGCATACAGCCCGCCCGCCTCTCTGCAGGGTGAGACCTGCTGGTAGTGAGGACCTGCATACATCACTTATTGAAGCGGATCTTGCTTGTCTTTTAGTGTAGCGGTTGCCAACCTTTTGAACCTCACATACTACCTGTGGTTCATGGACCACTGGTTGGCGACTGCTGTTTTAGTGGACATAAAATGTTCATGCTTTTTTTTGGCAACCTGCAAACCATGGAGTGAAGTGATATTCTGGGTTGCTGCTTCTGGTGGTGGATGTTGTTATACTCTTTGCTGCCCTATACAAAATGGGACTCCTCCCCGAAGTTGGAAACAGGTGTTGCTTGCTTGACATATGTTTTACACAAAAAGAAAAACTTAATAAAAACCACAACGGAGACAGAGGTGAAAAGAAGTCAACATATAGAGTTAAATAAGGAATGGTTGAAATAAAAACAGTACTGGTGGGAATGGCAAGAAAAATTAAATTTCACCTGTGTTTAGGAGGTAAACAATAGAATAGAGATTTGAAGAATTAGTGCTTAGATTTATGACCTGGGCAACAAAGTGGGTGGTGGTAGTTTTGATGGTAAAGGCATGTTTTGTGGGGAATTCTGTTTTGTTTTGTTCTGTTCTGGGCACACGAAAGATTCGGCCATGGTAGCGAGAGGACAATGATGTAGTCATCCTGTGTGTTTTCACTATCTGTATGGTTAAAGCCATGGTTTTGAGTATGATGTAGTGTGGAGATTTGTAAGTAGGTGCAAAGTTAAAACTAAGTGAACTTGCTGAGCATTTGGCTTCCTGCTTGATGATGTATTTTAAATTTCTTTAAAAAAAAATATTTTATTGATTTCAGAGAGGAAGGGAGAGGGAGAGAAGGAAACATCAATGATGAAAATCTTTGTTCAATTGCCTCCTGCACGCCCACTAATGGGGATTGAGCCTGAAACCCAAGCATGTGCCCTTGACCAGAATCGAACCTGGGACCTTTCAGTCCTCAGGCCGATGCTCTGTCACTGAGCCAGCTAGGGCTAGATTTCTTATTCTTTATCAGTGCCTGCTGTCCTTGAGTCATTTTATAGTGCCCTATTAGGCAAATGTTCCAAGTTCCAGGTCATCCATTTCATTTTCCCAGTTGTCATGAAAGAAAACTATAAAAATTTATATTGACTTATTACCTTATTGTAGCTTATCTTTTAAAAGATTTCCAGATTATGCCATATTAACTCAAAAGACAATAAGTTCTACGTTTCAGATAAATATGTGCAGAGCAAGAATATACATTGTGAAAGGAGCCTGTGCTTTGTCAAAATTTTCCTGTTTCATCTGTTTCTGGGCTCCATCTATTGTAAAACTCACCATAAGATTCCTTCTTAGGAAAAACACTGCACATCTTCATGAAACTGCTTTCCTGTCACATTCAATCCAATGTGCATTCAAATTCCAGAGGGAAAGTATATGTCCTGGAAAGAATGAAACAATTATTTTAAGTGTTTGTATTAATTTGGACTAACTACCATTAAAGGGGTAAATCACTAGGCCAAAAAGATGTTACATCGCAACAAAAGTTAGCATAAATAATTTTGAAGTCTGTTAGCAATAACAGTCTGAATTTAATTCATCAAATTTCAAGTATTGAGGCCAGTAAAGGGAATATTTGGGGAGCGCATAGGATTATATGTTTTAAGATTATAAAACTGAAGTATAAAACCATGACAGTTTCTGACATAAATTGCAATTCAGACACAACTCTGTATGTCTATATTGTTATATTATTGCTGATTAATGAAATATGTTTTGTTTTGTTTTTTAAATTCAGGATGGATGCAACCTTGAAAGAACTGACTAGTTTAGTAAAAGAAGTCTACCCAGAAGCTAGAAAGAAGGGCACACACTTCAACTTTGCAATTGTTTTTACCGATATTAAAAGACCTGGTTATCGGTAGGTAACTTTATTTTTTTACTTTTTAATATATTTTATTGGTTTTTTACAGAGGAAGAGGGAGGGATAGAGAGTTAGAAACATCGATGAGACAGAATCATCGATCAGCTGCCTCCTGCACACATCCTTCTGGGGATGTGCCTGCAACCCTTGACCGGAATCGAACCTGGGACCTTTCAGTCCGCAGGCTGATGCTCTATCCACTGAGCCAAAGCGGTTTTGGCAGGTAACTTTATTTTTAGCTCCTATAATGTCTTTTTCGTTTTGATATATTTTACTGATGGGGGTAACCTCTTTAGTGAACCTCATTAGTGGGAGGAATTTAGATTTGTATTATTATTTTTTTTTAAGCTGGGATGTAAATTTTTTTAAAAATAAATCTTTATTGTCCATATTATTACATCTGTTCCCTCCCCCCCGCCCCCCAGCTCCCCTTCACCTGGTTCCCACCCCACCTTCTTCCCTTAACCCTCCCCACTGTCCTCATCCATAGGTGTACAATTTTTGTCCAGTCTCTTCCTGCACTCCCCACACTCCTTTCCTCCCTAGCATTGTTGGGCCTCCCTTTCTATGCCCCTGAGTCTATTATATTCACCAGTTTATTCTGTTCATCAGACTTTTATTCACTTGATTTTTAGATCACTTGTTGATAGACACGTTAAATATTTATTGTTCATAATTTTTGTCTTTCCTTTTTTCTTTTTCCTATTCTTAAAAAACACCTTTCAGCATTTCATATAATACTGGTTTGGTGGTGATAATCTCCTTTAGCTTTTTCTTATCTGTGAAGCTCTTTATCTGACCTTCAATTCTGAATGATAGCTTTGCTGGGTAGAGTAATCTTGATTATAGATTCTTGCTATTCATCACTTTGAATATTTCTTGCTACTCCCATCTGGCCTGCATAGTTTCTGTTGAGAAATCAGCTGACAATCGTATGGGTGCTCCCTTGTAGGTAATAACTGTTTTTCTCTTGCTGCTTTTAATATTCTCTTTGTCTTTTGCTCTTGGCATTTGCATTATGATGTGTCTTGGTGTGGTCCTCTTTGGATTCCTTTTGTTTGGGATTCTCTGTGCTTCCTGGACTTGTAAGTCTATTTCTTTCACCAGGTGGGGAAAGTTTTCTGTCATTATTTCTTCAAATAGGTTTTCAGTATCTTGCTCTCTCTCTTCCGGCATCCCCATAATTCGGATATTGGTATGCTTGAGGTTGTCCCAGAGGCTTCTTATACTATCTTCATATTTTTGGATTCTTTTTTCTTTTTTCTGCTTGGGTGATTTTTGCTTCTTTGTATTTCAAATCTTTGACTAGATTCTTGCATTCCTCTAATCTGCTAGGTCTCTGAATATTTTTTATTTCAGTCAGTGTATGTTTAATTTCTAGTTGATCCTTTTTCATATCCTCGAGGGTCTTGTTAAATTTATTGGCGTTTTCTAGGAAATTCTTGAAAAACCTTATAACCATGGTTTTGAACTATATCCACTAGTTTTCTCTCCTCCATTTCTTTCATTTGTAATCTGTTTCTTTGTCTCCACATTTTTGCTGGTTCCCTGTGTTGATAGAATGGCTTTGTGTGTTAGATGTCTTACAGGGCCCAGTGGCTCAGCCTCCCCAATTACCTGAGGTGGATAGCCTTGGTGCACTCTCTTGGTGCACCCCTTTGTGGGCTGTGTGCACAGTCTTGTTGTAGTTACGCCTTGATAGTATCACTGGGAGGAATTGGCTGTGAGGATCAGCTGTGTCTGCACTGGGAGAACTTCTGTGCTGGAGACACTCTAATGGGAGAAGACTTGCAAAAGCCTCTGTGCTCAGCTTGGATGGAGCGGAGTCTCAGGGCAGAGCAGACAACAATGGCTTCCCATCAGCCCTGCCCTAAGAGGCCGCTGGGTCTCAGTGTCCCTTGGTAATCGCTGCCACACCTCTGAGAGAAAGCCACCCTCGAGTTCTGCCCGCTGCTGGACAGTCCAGTTTCTCCCCGAACGAGTCTGGGTCCCCAGAGTCTCACCTGGAACTGGAGTTCAGAGCAGTTGGGAGCTTTTGTCTCCTTCCCAATTGAGAAAGCCAGCTGCACACTCAGGTGCCAGTCCTCTCCGCACGTGCACCTCTGCACCTCTACCTTCAGCAGCTCCTCTGAGACTCAGTGTGCTTTTCTCTTTCCTTCTAGTTGTCGAATTTCCCCTCAGCCAGCCTTCCTGTGGTTCTGGATGATGTCCATTTTGTCTTTTAATTGTAGTTTTGAAATTGTTGCGCGAGGCAGCAGTTTAGGTGTTTACCTATGCTGCCATCTTGGTTTCTTCTAGATTTGTATTATCTTAATATCTGTATTTTTGTGCAGTAAGATAATGGAGCTGCATGATTAATGTTGCACACAACATTAACAGTTGGTCTCCTTCCTGCAGGGTGAAGGAGATTGGCAGCACCATGTCTGGGAGAAAGGGGACTGATGATTCCATGACCCTGCAGTCCCAGAAGTTTCAGATAGGAGATTATCTGGACATAGCAATCACCCCTCCGAATCGGGCACCACCTCCTTCAGGGCGCATGAGGCCCTATTAAATTTTATTGACCATTGAGTTTATTTTTCATTCAGTTATGTAAAACAAATTTATACCTTTTCCTCCTTTTTATTGCCATTAAGCCTTTAAATTCTAAAGAAATTGTAATGCATTTATTTACGAGTTAGGTTTGGCTGTGCTATGGTATGAATAGTAAGAGTAAGTCCATATTTCAAGTCCTTCTGTAAAATATGAAGTGCTCTTAGCATTCTATGTAAAACTTATTAAATAAACATGTGCAATCAACCTGAGTGTGAAAATTAACGGAGGCATGGGAGCTGGGTTTGAGTATTTGGGGTTTGTGTTACGTAGTGGAGGATAATGAGCTTAATGTCAAATGGTGCAGAACAAGAAAACCATAGGATTATATTAATTAAACTAGAGGCCTGATACATGAAATTCATGCAAGAGTAGGCCTTCCCTCAGCTGCCTGCAGTGGCTTCCCTCTGGCACCCTGGATCCAGGCCTCCCTCTAGCTGCTGGCAAGCACTTGGGACCTGGGCTTCCCTCCAGATGGTTGTCCAGAAGGACATGTGGTTTAATTAGCATATTACACTTTGATTATAGACTAGAGGCCTGGTGCACAAAATTTGTGCACGGGGGTGGGGGTTGTCCCTCAGCCCAGCCTGCGCCCTCTCCAGTTTGGGGTCCTCAAGGGATGTCCAACTGCCTGGTGGGATCAGGCCTAACTGGGTGGTCAGACATCCCTCTCATAATTTCAGGACTGGTGGCTCCCAACTGCTCTCCTGCCTCTTCCTGAGTGTCCCTAACTGCTTCTGCCTGCCAGCCTGATCACCCCCTAACCACTCCCATGTCAGCCTGATATCTAACTGCTCCCCTGCAGGCCTGGTCACCCTAACTGCTCTCCCCTACAGGCCTGGGCCCCTCCCCCCATCTGCCCTTCCCTGCAGGCTTGATCGCCCCCAACTGCCATCCCTTGTGGGCCTGGTCCCTCCCAACTGCCCTCCCCTGCTGGCCATTTTATGACAGCCATCTTGTGTCCACATGGGGCCAGTCATTTTGTGTATTGGAGTGATGGTCAATTTGCATATTTTATTACTGTGTTTCCCCGAAAATAAGACATCCTCCGAAAATAAGACCTACTTACAGGTTTCCTTCTTAGTGAAATATAAGGTATTCCCCCGAAAATAAGCACCCCCCCTCCCCAGGCTGTCTCAGAATGCTATTGCTAAACATGAGAGATTTGGTCCACTGATTCTGAGTCAAGAAATTCACCAGGAAATTCAGGAATTGGATTGTTATGATGATGCTCCAGAAGATGATGACACGATTGTCATTGAATAAATAAGTAAATTCTTGATGTAGGATTCACAGTTTGTCTGGTTTGTGTTGACAACTACCGTACTACCGTACCGTATACAGGTAATTTCTTTTCATTTAACAATAAATGTGTACTATATTCTTCTTGGGAAAATAAGACATCCCCTGAAAATAAGACCTAGCGCATTTTTGGGAACAAAAATTAATATAAGACACTGTCTTATTTTTGGGGAAACAGGGTAGATAGGATAGCATGAGTTTGTGGCCTAGACATTAGACAAGGTTTGGAGTTAGAAAAGGGATCTCTGAGCATGGCAGCAGAGGCATTTTGGAAGCTTGAGCTGATGCAACTTGAAGAATCTTGTGATTAAAGAAATCGGCCTGCCTGAATCATGGTACAATCAAAACTTCAAAAAGCTAGAGAAGAGAATGGGTGCCACAGTGAGGGCTTTTTATGTTTTAAAGATTGGGGAGGACAGGAAGCAGGGTTAGAACTTAAACCTTCCACCTGAAGAAAATCTGAAAGTGGAAGAGTAATCAAGGCCAAGTGAGAAGTGCCAGGGGATGATGCCAAGTTGGGTAAGGAATATTCACAAACCATGCTAAATGCTAGTGACAGTCTCCCCTTCTCTGACGGACACTTTCCAAGACTCCCAGTGGATACCTAAAATACCAGATAGTACTGAACCCTGTGTATACTGTCTTCCTATACATTCATACCTGTGATAAAGTTTAATTTGTAAACTAGGAAGAGTATGAGTTTAACAACCATAGCTAATAGGACAGTTGTAACAATGTACTGTAATCAAACTTATGTGAATGTTGCATTATTCAGTAAAATATGAGTTACTTGAACACAAGCACTGTAATACTCTGATATAATACTCTGAGAAATCAGCTGATACACTTGACAAATGTCAGCCACTTTTTTTCTGATTTCAGAGAGGAAGAGATAGGAACATTAATGATGAATCATTAACTGACTGCCTCCTGCATGCCCCCCACTGGAGACCAATGCCCGACCAGGAATTGAAACTGCAACCTCCTAGTTCATAGGTGGACACTGAGCCACACTGGCCTTTTGGAGTTTGAGTTCCAGCACATCCACCCTATATAATGAAAGGCTAATATGCAAATTGTCCCATGGGCGTAAGTTAGATGTGTGCTGACCACCAGGGGGTGGTGCAGACTATGGCAGGCATTGGTGACGAGACGCTGCTGACCCTGATGGGATGGTAGAGCAGGTGAGCAGGTGGTGACTGTCCAAGGCAGGTGCAAGCCAGGTCCCCGACTGCCTCACAGATAGGCCCTGATTGCTGGCCAGTCCTAGGGACCCTATTCCTGTAGTCGTCTACATGAACTTGGTATTTTCAGTTATTAACATTATATATTCAGTCTAGACATTATATATTCAAATTTTGAAAAATGTAACTGGGACTGTTGTACCCAGAGTAAATTCAATGAACCCAGACTATCTCTGTACAAACTGAAGGCAACACCCTAAAAACTAAGCATACCACAATGCTTAGCTGTGCCAGATTCTGTGCTAAGGAACTTACTGTGCATTATCTCATTTACCTCCCATTGAGCTACAATGACTAGTTTCCACCTGTAGATGAAATTAAGACCTGCTTTAACAGATCACATGGTAGGCATATAAACCTATGTAACCAATAATAGATTAGTTAGTTGAAACTACATTTCCAAAAAAAGTTTTTCAGTTTCCTTGATTCTCGACTCACTGCAATCTTAAATCCACTCACACTGCAGTGATACTGCTCCTGTAGGGAAGTTATCCTTTGCATTCTAAATTTCGGACAAGGGACCTAGAGTTGTGGACCTGTTTGTTTTTATACAAACCAGAACACCTCTCTTAAATATGGTCACGGCTCACAGTTTGAGGAGCCGTATGAGATCTGTGTTACTGTATTTATTGCTTAGAAATAGGTAGTTTTACCATAGTTATAGTAATTTCTTGGAGTCTGCATGAACAAGCTTGAAGGAAGAATGTTTATTCTGTTAGGAATAATCATGACTAGGCAGCTATTCTTTTTTACTGATTTCAGAGAGGAATGGAGAGAAACATTGATAAGCCCATCCCACACGGGATTGAGCCCACAACCCAGGCATGTGCCCTGACTGGGAATCAAACTGTGACCTCCTGGTTCATAGATCAACACTCAACCACTGAGCCACACCAGCCAGGCAGGTAGGTATTTTTGTATGTTTGTGTTTAATCCTCACCTGGGGATATTTCTCCATGATTTTAGAGCAGGAGAGTGTAGAAACTTCAGTGTGGCACACTGACTGCTTGCCACCCACATGTGCCCCAACCAGGGCTTGGGATTGAGCCTGCAACCCAAGCATGCACCCTTGACGGAATCGAACCTGGGACCCTTAAGTCCACAGGTCTAAGCTCTATCCACTGAACCAAATCAGTAAGGGCTGGGCAACTTTCTATGAAGAGCGCAATGGATTCTCCCTGCCCAGTCTCAGAAGAATAAGCTAAAACCTAAAAGGGAATTTTAAGACATTTGGCTTTAAAATTTTTTAAATAAGCAAAAACCTTAAGTTTGGGAGTGTTATGAACATTTATTGTTGGGAGGAGCCAATGTAATGGTGCTTAGGAGTGCCTAGATAGTGAATGTTCAAAACCTATTTAAAAAGAAAAGGCATTTGTAGCCCTCTCAATGTGCCTTCAGAATTTTCTACCTCACCTAAGCTGGCCAGCCCAGTAATAACCATTTCTTAAAATTTCAAATAAGACTTGATGAAATTAAAGCAATTTAAATTATGAACGAAGTAAACCTAAGGCATTTTTAAAATATGTAAATTCTAGAGTAATTATTGGAAACTATCAGAATTTGTAGTATCTCTCTCACTTTCCAGTATTTTGCCAGGGATTTATATATACTAAACTGAGCGTCTATTATGTACCACGTTCTATGGGATAGGAGAAACATAAATATGACAAAATACAGATCCTTCCTCATAGTCTTAGTTTCATGAAAGGTATAAACACATGGTAAAAAGTTTATGAGAAGTTGTTATTGAAGATGGCACTTGAGCTTGTCTGACTCCTAAAGGGTTGGATTTATACTCCTGTTACAGGGTGTAACATGAACAAAGGCATACATGTGGGGAACGTACCACTCATGGAACACTCATGTAATAATTTTGACCAAATTCAGGATAAAGAGGGGACACATCAGAGATGTTGGAGGATCAATACATTTGGGGTGGACAATGAATGGGACATGGAAAAGCCATTTCCTCATCTGGAAAATACTGATTTCAAAGTATTAATCTAAGAATTAAATAAATATTTAGGACCATGCCTAGTGTGTACGATTATCATTCCCCAGCATGCCATAAAAAACCAGTTCTGACAACATCATCCATTTTACCACCAAGTCCAATAGTCAAGTTTTGTCTCTTTTATACTAGAGGCCTGGTGCACGAAATTCATGCAAGAGTACAGTCCCTAGGCCTGCCCTGCGATCAGGGCCATCTTCCCGGGCTGCACAAGCCGGCCCTGCCCTCAGTTCCCCATTAGCCATCAGGTGATCGGAGCCTGCTGGCAGGGGGAGGAACCGAGAGGGTGGCCATTATACCCGCTAGCTGGCCCTGCCCCCACCTACATCCCGGTCACCTGCCCCTGACTCCCCATTCGCCATTGGGCAATCTGAGCCTGCCAGCTGGGGAAAGGGACCGGGAGAGAGTGCACCTCAGTGT